CCTCTCAAGATCTTGGGCATACACGCACAAGTGCCTGGTGTGAGTTTCTAAACCACTGGGTCCAGGACTCAAACTGTGGTCAACTACAAGGGAGTCCAGCAATGTAACCATTACACCAGCTGCTGATCCCTGCTTAGCCTACTTCAACAACCAGGAAAACACCATTACATTTTCATATACCTCAAATTAACTAGAAAAACCTTTGTTTTAACGGGTAAAAATTATTTCTTCACCCTGAGACACCCCAGGTCCCCCCTGTGGCCCTAGAACACCAGTCCGTGAGGGAACATTGGTGGTGGTGTGAGTTCCCAGTAAGTAGAACGACGCCAACTTTCAGAGGAGAGTGACTTCATTCCTCAGGGAGGAGGAGAGAAAAGGCTCTCTTGAAACATTTAGGTGGGCAGTACAGGGACCCCCAGGGTTGCTACATTTTCTCAAGATACTCTTTCACTTATAAGTTTAATCTCTTTTTTTTTTTTGGCCATAATTATTAACTACAAATAATAAATTTGCCATGTGAGTCCTGCCAACAAAAGCATTTTTTGTCTTCCCCCAACTTCCTGTGAAGAACAGTCAGGTAGATGCCCGCCCAGTGTAGGTAGTTTTTACTGTGTCTTTTTATGGCACCAAATAGTCTTTTTTTATTGTATAATGTAGTTTCTGACAGTCTCAAAATGTAACCAGTCAATACTTACATTTTCGGTGAATGTACGGTAGCAATAAAGACACACACCACACACGTCATACAGACAGGGCCCACTGAGATCCAGTTCCCCCGGTAGAATGAAAGAGACGTATTTGTGTGGACAAGGAGTAGGTTCCTGCCTCAAACGGCTCCACGTTTGGAAGACTGAGCTTTAGTTTTGCTTCAAAAGGCTGCAATTCATTAGGGCATTCTTGTCAGGGACCAATAAAAACACCAGGAAGAGTGATGATTCTGTTCCTCAAACACAAACAAGTTTATTTTTTATGAAGGATGAACACAGAGCTTTGTATCCACTAAATTAAGCACATTAGTGATGACCCTTCCTGGGCCATGTTTAAGAAGAGAAGAAAGACAAGAAATTACATACAAAACATATGACATATATATACACACATATATATGTATATAGTGTGTGCATATATAACACACAGTCAGGTTAATTGTCGCTCCTCTAAACACTTAATCTGTTAGCAGTTGATAAATCCCACCCTGAATAGCAGTGGCTGGTATTTAGGTCACACAAAGTCATTGCCGTTTTTTAATTTAAACTGTGCAGTAGATTAAAACACAAGAGTGTTTCAGGAGGACGATTCAGAAGCAGCGGCAATAGGCTGTCATTTGGCGTAAAAAGTTTCCACAGCACACCCCAGGGACATGTTAATCAAAGCTTTTTAATGGATTCAGTCTGATCTGTGACAGGCTTTGTTCCAGAGATGGCATTTGCTGGATAGAGCTGCAAGTTATCAATAAGACACAGTAATTGCAGGGAGTGATGGAGCTGCATTTCTGGGGCTTCGTACCATCCAGCTCTTTTTTATTATCAGTTGAGGCACAAGTGTCCTGCAGTAGGAGTCAAAGGATGACTTGTTTCTTCTTTCATCGTCCCACATGTAATGACGAAAAATTAAGCAAGAAAAACTGACATTAATTTGCACAAAGGCATGCAAAAATCCACTACGTCCTTCTCCAATTTCTCGTCCTTGTGAAGTCTTTGTCTTGGACTTTTAAACCAGGTCTGGGCAGCATATCTTTGAATCTGAGCAAATAAAACCGTTTCCACTGAGGCAGGCATCTGAAGCTCCTCTGTGGGCTCGGGGTGGGGGTGGGGTTCTGTGGGGACTTCTACACTCAGTTCTTGATCATCACTCTGAAATCAAAGCAGCCAGAGGCTAACCTAACGACTGAGGATCACGCCGATCACTTACAGGGATAGTTAGCTTTTCAGCCACTTAAAAAGGTTAACGCTTCTTGTCAAATGGAAAACGTCTTGGTACCTGTTCAACACCAGCTACAAAATAAAAATCGAATAGCCGTTTTCTTTAATAAGCCACAATCCACACTCCGGAACATCAAAATCATCCCCTTAGTAAGAGATTGCAGGGTCTAGCAGTTGGTGTAATGGCTATGTCATTGGACTCCCATGTAGGCAACCACGGTTCAAGTCCCAGACCCAGTGGCTTAAAACTCACGCCGGGCGTGTGTGCATGCATGCCCAAGATCCCGAGAGGAGAATGGAGGAGAAGGGATTGCGGCGTGGCCATCCCCCCTTGGGGTGGGGGGTGATTTCTCGCTTTCTTTCTCTCTGTCTCTCTCTGTCTTTCTGGTGAGCGCACACGTCCTATAGCAAAAATTTCTCCAAAGAAAAAAGAAAAAAAAAATGAGATGGCAAGGTGAGGGAGTGAAGGCAGGGGAGACAGTATTCAAGAACAAATCAGCCTCCTTTCGGGTGCCTTCCCCCACCACCTGGCTGTTTTCCGTTCCTCTGCCCCTGAGCTAGTATGTCACTTGAAAGATTCCCTCACCTGGATGGCCCTTGTCAACCTCTTGGAAAGCAGGGACGGAGCAATCAGACACCTGCAGCTCCACGCAAGCCAATCTCTCACTGTTTCCTATAGCTGTTACCTCAGTTCCCCAGGCAAGAGGTCAGGTAGATCTCTTAATCTCATTCAAATGAGCTCTACGTCTACCTAGTAGCAAAGTGTATGTCTGGCCAAGAAATAAAATCATACAGAGATAATCCCTGAGATAGACACATGCGATATCACATTTGTAGCCCTCTAAGACTCTGACTTGCCTGGTATGTGAGCTCTCAGATACGGTCTAAACGCCGTAGTGGGCTCTTTGACACTGATGTCAAACCACCTTTTCAATCTGTTTCTTCTGTTCAGCCCGCACCGTTCTACGGTACTTCTGTAGATAGCGTGACATGCTTGGTAATTTCATCTCTCTTTTGTTTGTAACATTCCTTCAACCAGAAATTTCTTTCCCTTCATTGTCCACTTACCAAATTCTTGCTTAACCCTCAAGCCCCATCCAAATGCCATCTACCCAGTGAGGTCAGAATTAACTGAGACAGGAGACACAGCTACAGAAGGTTGGCGTACAAGGGTCATTGTTCGAGGGACTCTGCTGTCATAACTCTTTAGGAAGACGATCCAGTTCCCAGCCATTCGGTCTCAAGACTCCAAATGACAGCCTGTTGTTCTCCAGCATGAGTAATCCTCTAAAACTCCTTGTTTAAAAACACAAAACAAAGAAACCAGCAGATAACAATAATGGTGAAATCACTGGATTCCCATGTAGTCGACCGCAGTTCGAGCCTCAGACCCGGTGGTTTAAAACTCATGACAGGTCGGGAATCAGCAGTTAGCATAATGGCTATGTCGCTGGACTCCCACATAGTCGACCGCGGTTCGCGTCCCAGACCCAGTGGCTTAAAACTCACGCCAGGCACGTGTGCGTGTGTGCCCAAGATCCCGAGAGGAGAATGGAGGAGAAGGGATTGCGGTGTGACCATCCCCCCTGGGGGGTGATTTCTCGCTTTCTGTCTCTATGTCTCTCTCTGTCTGTCTGGCGAGTGCACGCGCCCTATAGTGAAAATCTCTAAAAAAAAAAAAAAACAAAAAAACTCATGACAGGTATATGTGCATGCATGCCCCAAAATCCTGCGAAGAAAATGGAGGAGAAGGAATTGCTGTGTGGCCCAGCCTGCGAAGAAAATGGAGGAGAAGGAATTGCTGTTTGGCCCAGCAATCCTCCCAGGGGGTGATCTCTCACTTTTGGTCTCTGCCTCTCCAGTGAGCGCATGTGCCCTACAATAAAATCTCTCTTTAAAACAAACCTAGTTAAAAAGCAGCTAATCTCACATCTGCCCCTAGACAGCCGAGCACTGGGCATATTCAGGCGTTCATTCAAGAAACCAAAAACTAATTATAAAGCAACTAATCTCACATCTGCCCCTAGATAGCCAAGCACTGGAAAGATTCAGGCATTCATTCAAGAAACCATGTGCCTGGTTATGCCTGGAGATGCAGCAGTTTAAAGATGAGGTTCTTGGGAAGCTTACAGTAAAACAGAACCCTGCCGTACATGAGGGTTTGCTCCCAGCGTATGGTTCCCTTCTTTGCCTAATAGCATCCTGATTATTTCACATCTGCCCCTAGATAGCCAAGCACTGGAAAGATTCAGGCATTCATTCAAGAAACCATGTGCCTGGTTATGCCTGGAGATGCAGCAGTTTAAAGATGAGGTTCTTGGGAAGCTTACAGTAAAACAGAACCCTGCCGTACATGAGGGTTTGCTCCCAGCGTATGGTTCCCTTCTTTGCCTAATAGCATCCTGATTATTTCTGAGAACAGGTTCTCAAATCTTAGATCATCAGAATCACCTGAAGCTACTGAGCGAGCCTTGCTGACCCCCAGCATGCATCTATGTATTTGCTGATTTTGTGACTGAGATAGAGACACAGAGACAGGTATCCCCACCAGGTCTTTGCCGCCATCCACACCCAGCCCTGGTAGACCCAAATCCTGGGCACACACATGCCCAGCATGTCCAGGGAAGTCTCCAGACATGAACCCAGAACCTTCCCATGTGGGTCAGCTTGGCAGAGCATTAAGTCACTGCTGCCTCACCAGCCAACCCTCAGGCCCCAGCGCCTCTACCCAGTAGGTCCAAGTTTTTGCATTGCTAATCATTTCCCAGGTGAGGCTGAAGCTCCTGGCTGGAAGAGCCCACGCCAAGGACTGCAGCTTTAAGAAAACACTCATCCCCACTTCTCCCCGTCAGTGCTGTGAGCACGGATTTAAGGGCAGCAGGAGAAGAGGCAGGAAGGCTGGTGAGGAAGTCGTTGTCACGATCCCAATTAGAGGTGATGAGGGCCCGGACTAAGGAAGTGGCTGGAGGAATGAAGAGAGCAAAGACAGAGAGAGCCTGTGTTGATGAACTAGACTTGGGAGTGAGAGGGGGAAATGAATCTAGGCTGCTCCCTCACCTCAGGTGTAAGAAACCCAGAGCGCTCACTTCGGCAGCGTGTATACTAAAATTGGACCGATACGGAGAAGATGAGCATGGCCCCCGAGCAAGAATGACCCTCAGCTTCATGAAGCGTCCATATTTTTCAAATGATGCATCGTGACTGAATGTTTAAAAACAATAATGAGAATTTTTTTTAAAAAATCTGAAAAAAGAAAAACTATTGGCTGATGATGACGTGGATAGTAATGTCTTTGTCTTGACTAACAGGCACGGTAATCGTGCTAGCAAAAGAAATGGAATACGCTGTGGAGATATATGTGATTAACTGTAATATTAAAAAATAGTAATGAAATATAAATAAATAAAGTTAAATAAATTCTTTAAAAAATAAATAAAAGGGCTATAAACTATTCGATCAAATAAATAAATAAATAAATAAATGAATGAATGAATGAATGAATGAATGAATGAATGAATGAATGAATGAATGAATGAATGAATGAATGAATGAATGAATGAATGAATGAATGAATGAATGAAAGAAATCTGTGTCCAAGAGGGTGGCTGTTTAGAAATAGAATTTGGGCATGAGAATGTGGTGAGAAGAAGTAGACGATGAAGTTGGCAAGTTGATACCAGAACCGAGGGGACAAATATTGGAGCTCGGTCTATAAGGACAGGTGGGTGTGTGAGGGGATGAAGCCCCATCACTGGACCAGAGGAGGAGCACCCCTGGGGGTGTGGAACAAAGAGGAGCCCGTGAAGAGCATTCGGTGGGCAGGATGGTGGGGTGGTGTCTGTACTGGATGTTTTCATTGAAGTGGCTGCTATCAGCTATTGGAGGAGGGATGCTATTAAGGAAAGAAAAAGAGCGAACTGATCAGGAACCAACTGACTTGGGACAAGTCACAGAAGCACCAGGCGATATCCCTGAACTTTAAATCCCAGTCGGCAAGGCTCTGCTAAGCTTTGCAACAATCTTACAAGCTCCCAGTTGACTGTGAGCTCAAGACCTCATGGTGGATGCAGGTTCTAATGCAGGTCTACTCCTTTTCTCAACAGTTAAACTCGCCCCTGTGTAAGAGAGGGCTTGTATTATTCACCAAGACAGAGAACATGTTTTTCTGAAGGGAAGGGAGGGGACGTAGACTCTCTTCTGTCCTCTTGTCCCACATGTGCTCACAGCCCTCGTGACGAAGCCTTTCTACGGCGTTTCTTCCAGCCCTGGGTGTGCACAACTTAATGCTTCAGAAGACACATCAGCCATGGCTTCACAGTCATAGCTGCGGTTAACAACCCTCTACTGGGACGCCTCCAGAACTCTCCGAGGTATCATAAAAGTCTCCAAACAAAACTCATTTTTACATATTTAAATTTGAAGCCACGGAGCCTACCTGTGAAACCCCTCTGTTTCACAAAGTAGGGTGTTACATTTCCCAAAACATGAGACCATTTCCCAAATGCTCTAGTCCATTTGAAATTCATATGGATCCCATTTCAAAGCCACTTTTTGTAATGACTTTTGTATCAAATAAAAGCCCTCAAAGTACACACATTCTCAGGAGCATTTGCCTACCCCGGGAGTGAGAGAATATTAGAACATATTCAGAATAGGATTACACAGTGCTTCTGTGGAAAAGCTTCCCACACAGGTAACCTGAGAGGGAAACCTATGTAGAAATAGTGTTCTGTCCTCAGAACCATCCATGTCTGTTTCTGTGCACGTGGGACCAGAACTGATGCTGGGACCGATTATTTAGCTCCGCCTCCCCACCCATACTTACACAGATGCATGCCTGCTTACACAGTACACAAACGCAATCCCAGAAAGCAAACCCAGGAGTTGGAGAGGAGCTTTCGAGAAAACGCAAAGCAAGTTCAATCAGTTTGCCAACTAAGCATGATTTTCTGTTCGTAAAAAGACTACTATGGGGTCAGGCAGTGTGTGGTGGGTAAGGCAGTTGGATCCCACCTGACCGACTGCATAGTTTGAATCCTGGACCTGGCAGCTTGAAAATCATACCAGGCCCATGTGCATGTGTGTCCCAAATCCCAAGAAGAACATGGAGGAGAAGGGATTGTGATGTGGCCATCCCTCCTGAGCAGCGATTTCTCACTTTTCCTCTCT